AATGGTTCCCATAAAAATGTCAGCTTAATCCGACTCATCCCTGAGGAACTTGGACCAAGAGTCCCCATCTTCTGGGGAAATGGATTCTATGGGTTTTGAGGTTGGTGACTGTTTATGAGAACAGGCGCTCCTCATTAGAGGGAAAAGTAGAGTCAGATGAGGACCTGTGATGTGTGACCCTGCCGGGGGCTCTAAGAGAAAGGAGAGAGAGGCTTTGGTTCCTAAATGTCCCCCAATTCCAGCTCCCTGAAGACAGATGTTCTCTTCCTAGATCACCTGGCCTTTTGGGGTTGTGTTAAAAAAGAACAGGGAGAAAGAAAGCGGCCGTGAGAGGACTCCATTGCTAGGTGTGTATTGACTCACGTAACTAAAAGGTCCTAATGTACTTCTCAGCTTGATCCAGCAGCTCGAATGATGTTGCCTGTGACCCCGTGTTTTTTGGTGCCTCGATCCTGTCTTATGTAAGGATGGCTTGATCCCCAGTCTCTACTTTTTGTCCTCTCTCATCTATGGCCACTTTAGAGTCTTCAAGGTGGCTGCAGCAGTTCCAGACCTCACAACTTCATGCCGACCTGCACTCTGGGAGGCAGTCCGGGCAGCTCTTCCCATTTTGGGATTGACACCTTGCCCGTGATCTCCAAAGCAGTGACTTGGACTGGTGGAGATAAATGTGCTGTTGAGATAAAGCTCCCCATTGCTTGCTTCAGTTTTCCCACTCTCAATAACATCTGCTTTTATGATCCAGGTCCTGCGATGTTCGTCCCACACGTTACCGCCCCTAAAACTCATAAAGCCTTCCAAGGCACTTACCAGGGCAATCTCCATTTTATTAACAAGGAAATCAGAGCTCAGAGATAGTGGCCACCTTACCCGGGGTCACACAGCTAGCACCTAACAGTGCCACCGGTATCCAGGAGTCAAAAATGGCCTGTGAAATTCAGGACCCTGAGCGCCTGACCCCTGTGTGCCTGCCTTTTACAGCAGAGGCCACTTCATAGTCACCGACCCCACCCTATTGCTGCTCTTCCGCTACTTGTCACTGTCCTCTGACCAAGGTCCCTTGCACACGGGGAGATGTTTTTTTTTGCCCAAAGATCCCAAGCTTTAGACTGGGTTACTCAAAAGTCCTGTTCCCCCCTCTGGGTTTCTCTGGACTCTATTCTCATCTCCACCTCGAGCTGTTTCCATGGAAACTGCTGGGCTCCTGTATCCCTTTCATCCCTCTTTCTGGGAAGCAAGGCCAGCTCTCTGGCACCCTGGTAGCCAGGCCTGACCATTATAAAGACCAAAGAGGCAGTATCTGAGAGAAGCATTTGCAGGGAGAGGGCGGAACCAGGACACGCTCCTGAGTTTTCTTTGAAGTGCTCCAGAATAACACCAGGTGCTCTGAGGAGCTCTGCCAATTACTGCAGCCCACTACGGGCTGCAAGGTGTTTGCCATCCCATCTCTGGCATCTCACAGCCACATTCTTCATTTCCTGGGGACCTGGGACAGAGGGCTCATGGGGGAAAATCTGCTTACCATGTCCTTGTGTCAGTGACAGCCCTCAGAGGGGACAGTCAGTGGGATATGTCAGGAGGGATGCAGAAAGCAAGGCCTGATCTGTCCCTTTTGGAGAAGAAAGGACCCAGTCACTGGAGGACTGGTGGACACTGGGAGACACTGCACATGGCACTGGTGGCCTGAGTCTACAAAGTACTTTCTAGATAAATCCCGGGAACATGGCATTTGATATACAAGGACCCTGGTACCCGAATGAGCCAAAGTGACCTCAATACCCGACCCTGCTTAAGTGTGGTTCCTTCTGAGCCTTGGTTTCCTTCTCTTGAAGATGGGTCCGAATCTTTTTTTTTTTTTTTTTTGGTTTTTTGAGACAGGGTTTCTCTGTGTAGCTTTGCGCCTTTCCTGGAACTCACTTGGTAGCCCAGGCTGGCCTCGAACTCACAGAGATCCGCCTGGCTCTGCCTCCCGAGTGCTGGGATTAAAGGTGTGCGCCACCACCGCCCGGCCCGAATCTTAATAGAACATCTGAGAGAGCAGCTGTGCAAGCCAACAGAGTATGATACATTACAACCACTGGTGAAGGCATATACAGACACCAACATCCACCGCTGCCGCCGCCACCGCCGCCGCCACCACCACCACCATCTTTATCATCATAGCTGTTATACAACTCAAACAGAAGGTCCTGGAGAAACAGGATCTCAGACGTTGGAAAATACTTAGGTGTTTCAGCAGGAAAAGCACTGTTTCTGTCATTGACTCTCCTTTGCTTTGACCTTGCTTCACCTTCTGATGCTGGGCAAGGCCATCTAGGCTGCCCCCAGGCCTCCACGCAGCACCAAGTCTGAAAACAGCACACTGTGTCTTCACATGGGCCCCGGACTCCCAAAGTCTGCTCACTTCAATCTGTCTGGGACCACCAGCCTCACAGTGCCCCTTCCCACAGCAGCCCCAGGATCTGGAGAGGTTTGCCAGAAAAGAAAGCATACATGGGCACCCCTTTCGAGTTAGTGGCCTCAGGTGGAAAGAGAGGGCATTCTGGACATGCCAAGCAGGCAGGAGGAGTCTGGCTCCTGGGTTGCCAGGTGTGGGCTAGGGCTAGTCTTTCAGAATATGAAGAAAAGTTCCTCTTAGACCATGTGGTTATCAGTATCCACTTTTCCATTTATCCCCAACCACACACAGGATTCTTGGTGGCAAACCCTTGAGTACATCATTTGTGGTCCTTACCTTGATGTTGTGAGAGGAGCCAGGCACTACCTTGGGTGTTTACAGAGCCAGCAAACAGCTTCTGCCTACAGACCGGAGCTGGGAGGGGCCAGGAGGGAACTCAGAGAAAGGGACTCCGGTGGCAGGTGCCAGAGCCAGGAAGACTGAGCCTAGCGCCTTGGGTGCACCGGAGTCAAAGGCTGCTATTCTGGAAACAGCATCTGCCTCATTTGCCCCTGGACCTCACTTTGGCATTCACCCTCCCAGGAGCCAGTAGCAACTTCACTGGGGGATGCAGGAAGTTAAGCCTTTGATCTGGAATGTTCTCCAAAGGCCTTTGTGTTATGGGCCTAGCTTCCAATTCAGCCATGTTCAGAGGTGGGATTTGAGGAAGGGGAAGTGAATGAGTGAGCGAGCTCTGACGACATTGATGGGTTACTCCATTGATGGTTTAGTAATTGATTACTGGGAGGTGGTAGAAACTGTAGGTAGGCAGGACTATTTGGGAGGCAGCAAGTCACCAGGGTGTCAGTGGGAGGACAAGACAAGCTGTGTCTTGTCCCAGCTAGGCTTCCCTTCTTTCATCTCTTCCCCCCTTTCTCTCTCCCAGTCTCACTTCCTAGCCAGGCTCCCACTATGACATACTGTCTCACCACCACCCATGAGCAATGAACCAAAATGCCCACAGACTAAAACCTCCGAAACCACGAGTCAAAACAAATCTTTTCTCCTCTAACTTGACTTTCTCGGGTGTTTTGTCACAGTGACAGAAAGCTGGCCAATATCCTGATCAAGAAGTCCTTGCCCAGCCCACCAGAGATCACAAGCACTGGCTGCATGCACGAAGGACAGGAACACAAACTTGTTTAACCCTCAGAACAATTCTAAGATACCCACACTCCCATTTTACAGACTAGAAAAGCTGAGACACAAAGAGGCTGTGTAATCCAAACAAGGTTGCAGAGGGTTTATTGGTTTTTTGGTTTGTTTTATTTGATTACTTGTCTGTTGTATTTGGGAGCGGACTCGAGGAGCTTGATTCTAGAGCAATTGTTCTTTAGACCTGAGCCTTCGTTCCTTTTCATAGGCAAGACTCAGGCAAAGGGCCTCAAGCTTGGTCGTTTCTGAGCCCTGGCATCTCAAGGCTAGCTTTTTCTGCCTCTTCTTCCCTAGTCAGTTCCCGTAAATAACTTCAAATACATCGGGCTTGGGCAACACATGAGCCGTTTTGGAACTCGGTCTCTATGTTGCCCTTTGAGGTCAGCTGAGGGCTGCCCCACCTGGCCCCAGGAGTCAGCCTGCTCCTCTGGGCCCCGCCCCCAGCTTCTCCTCTCCTCTAGCGACCTGCTTTTGATTCTCACCTCCTTCTCTTTTGCTCTCCCTTCGAAGGCAGCTCAGCTAACACTCATTAGCACATGTTAATGAGCACCGATTCATGTCTCTGTCCTTCTTTTTAGGGGCGGGTGCCGCTGTCACTCAAGGGTAAGACGTCCATGAGGCTAACACACACTACAGGGCCAAGACCTTCCGGATACGGGAGGCTGACTCCGACCGGAGGTGTGCTTGCTGTCGGGGGTGGGGGTGGGGGAGAGCGTTTTTGTCCAAGAGAAGCTCAAAGCATCCCTGGGTCAGAGTTTAATGTTCTCTACCTGCTGCCGTAGACGATCCCCACTACCATGACCCTCGGTGGGTGTGGTTCACATCTGGAACTGTAGGCTCCAGTCTGCCACTCCCTGGACAAAGGTCTGAAAGTCCCGAGAGAAAGCCCAGGCTGTGGCAGATACAGGAGGGGAAAAGGGAGGTACCCCACAGGGGAGTATCTCCTCCAATCCCATCTGAATCCTCCCTGCACCTTGCAGATCCCAGCTGCTCAACTACAGTACAAACCTTGAAAACTCTTTCCTGCAATTCTGCCCCCGCCCCCCCACACACACCTTGAGGGAGTAAGAGGGCGTAAAAAGAGTTCTGGGTTCAAATCTTAGCTTTGCTACTTTAGTAATATTACTGCTGCGGCTAGTAACAGGATGTCCTCAAGATGGACAGAGAGAAAGGAAGGCAGGAGCAGCCTCTCCCATTTCCACCGAAAAGCCTGTGGTGTTCCCGACAGGCATCCAGAAATCTCGTTGAAGACTCTCTCGGGGAGGGGGGGGGGGCTCCCCAGGAACCCTAGCAGAGGAGCCCTAGCCTCCGCCCGTGCAGCGCCGCGCCCTGCGCGATTCCCTGAGTGTGCGCGCCCCCTGCCGGCGGCCCGATGCGGTGCAGCTCCGGGCCGCCTTATAAAGGCAGCGTGGCGCGCAGCCCCAGAGCGAGAACCGGAGCCTAGCTGCACCGGGTGACAACGCTGAGCGGCTTAAGATCTCCAGGAGCGGCTCGCCATGGCTGGCCCGCAGCAGCAGCCCCCTTACCTGCACCTGGCCGAGCTGACAGCATCCCAGTTCCTGGAAATCTGGAAGCACTTTGATGCAGACGGTCAGTAAAATCTCCCAACTTCTGGGTCCGTTGACCCCCCCCGGGGACCTGAGGTTGGTAAAGGGGTCAGGGGCATTGCTTAATGTAGGCAGGTATGCTTTGCCCCCCAAAGAGGTTTGTTCTGGCGGCAGAGCCTGCTGGGGTCTTGAGTTTGGGAAACGCCCGGCTGCCCTGGCGACAACTGTCTAAGTTTTCCCAATGCTGGGTGCCCAGGGCCCACGTCCTGAGCAAGTCAGAGCTTTCCCCGAGAGGAGGCCTGGGGGGAAAAAAAGGCTCCCCATGATTCCCCTGCCTCCTTCCCCACCTTTCCTTTCAAGCTATCTCTCTGCCTCCAGCCCTGTAGCCACAGGTCTCCAAAACCCACTTATTTCTCCCCTCTTGATCCTTACCCCTCATCGTCAGTACGGACGATGGAGAAAGCTGGGCATCCTGAAGGGAAACTCAAGAGCCTCCTCTGAAGCGGGGGGGGGGGGGGGGGGGGGGGGGGGGGCTGGTTGGCCAAGGGCAGGAGTAGAGAATGGATTTGGGGCTCTTAACAAACCCGGGATGTCTTTACCCATTTTCCAACCCCACCAGTATGTGGGTTTCCCAACTGTAGAGCAGTGGGTGTGGTAGGGAGGCTCCTGGTGCTAGCCCCCAGCCTGCTGCCTGGTGGTAGAGACTCAGGTACCTTAAGTGACTGTCTGTGGATGGGGGTGATTATCTTAAACACCCCAGCGACCAACATTTTGCTCTACGTGGTCTTCACAAGACCAACCCAAAAACTGAGGTCCCGGGTGAATGGCTTTGGAGGTGGCTCCCACACCTGAGATTCCAAGTGTATATGAAGAGCTCACACACCACCACCCCAGCCCCTCATCTCTCCCTGTCCTCACTCCCAGTTTCTGATATTACTGGAGACTTTTCTATCACTCAAAAAAAAAAAAAAAAAAAGAGGAAAAAAGCCATTTCAATTCACCCTCCCATGCCCTGGTTGAGGTGGGCACCCAGAACACACTAACATCTCAGACCTGTTGGCAGGGCGGTAGCTAGGGACGTTTATCCTGAGACAGAGAGAGACGGGGTGGGAAATAGTCTTATCAGCTGGCAACTCCAACTCCCTGAATTCTCTCCCTCCTCTCTGAATCCCCTTGGCAGGGTATGAAGGTGGGTGCACAGAGATCCTCTGCTCCCAGTGCTGTGGCAAAGAAAGGGTTAATGTCTGAGGCTGCCAATAGGTGAGGTATCCTCTCCCTGGAGGCAAGTGAGAGAGCTGGCGGGGCTGAGGACTAGGTATCTGTATTCCTGGGGTAAGACAGTCATCGGCCTGAGAATTCCTGAAGGTGGTGGCTCAGTTGCTCAATCTGAAAAATGGGGCCAAGGAGGGAGGGGCTGCCTTTCACTTCCCTGCTCCTGACGCCCAGGATGGAAAGGGCCCCAACAAACAGCCTTGCAGCCTGTCGGCACTGCGTTGCATGGGACATGCTTTGGCCAGTGCATCTGCACCAGAGACTTGCATGAGTCAAGGAAAGTTACCAAGCTGTCAAGGTTATGCCACTGGCCAGGAGCTAGATGAGTCAGCTATAAACAGCCGACTCCAAGTCCACTTTTCCCTGGGGACAACCAGTAGCCCTCTCAATCATCATGAAAACCTTATATTAAGATCTGTTCTGAGACACTGCACTCTTTTAAAAACAGTTGAGCCCTTTGGAGTCCTACTCTGAGATGCTTCTGGGCAGGGTCCCCTTGTGTAGATGACATGAGACTAGCTTGGTGATGCTGGCTTCACCTGGGGCTCATGTCCCCATTCAAGGGGGCTCCTCCTGGGCTAGGGAGAGGGGATTTTTCTACAGTGTAGTACTATCCCATAATAGATCCTCAGCCCAGCTTTGGAGGTGGTGGGCAATTCTTTTTATCACAGAAAGGGACCCTTGGACGCATCCACACACCTCAAGAAAGTCCCAAGTGGGACCAGAAATGAAAGCATTGTGACTCACAAAGTGCGTTTGTGGACAAGCTGGAATTCCACTGAGGAATCTAGAAGTAAGTTTGGGGCTGCCTTTTTTTGTCCCTTTGCGGTTGACCCTCTCCTTGGCCTCTTGAACACCCCGAGGCTGCAGGTGAGCCCAACCCCTCATCACCTGGGCTGCTCTGGCCCTGATTGAGCCTTTCTCTCTCTTACCTGCCCTGCCTTCTGTTTGCAACTTAAGGATCCGTTGCACGAGGTTTGCTACTCTGTACCTTAAAGACCCCTGGGAGACTCTCCACAGCTCACAGGGTCCCTGGAGTGAGCTCACGGGAGCCCAGTTAATGACAGGCACCAGGGAGAGGAGCCACCTCCCTTACCATCCCAGACTCTTGTAAACAAGGGAGGCTTTAGAAAAGACCTTGACCCAGCGAGAGCATGGCTAGAGGAGGGGACTGGGAGTGGGGGACCCTTACTCAGCCCCTCTCAAGTCAGAAAGAAGAGGCACTACCTAGTTCCTTCATCCAAAAAAAAAAGTGTTTTCAAAGAGGTCGCTAGCGGTGGGGAGGGAAAAGCAAGCATTTGGGGAGTGGGGAGCTGGACAGGAAGGGGTCAGAGATTTCTTCTAGTTACCTCTACAACCCCAACCCTCCCTCATTGGCCACCAAGGGAACCACCAGTCTCTCTAATGCAGTATCAGGCATCAGTGAGGTGGCAGCCAAGCTACCTCATGCCTCTGCAGGCTCTGGGGCTTCTCTACATGTCACCTCCACACTCCAAGAGACACAGTATCTGAACTCTCCACTCTGCTGCTTCCTGGCCACTTTGTCAGCAATTCTTTGACTCTATAAGATCCAAGTGACCGTGAGGCCTGGAAGCACAGGCCTATACCCAGCTGCTCAGGATGAAGATCGCAGATTCAAAGACTGCCTGGGTTATAGGATGAGTTTCAGGCCAGCCTGGGCAACTTGGTGAGACTCTGTCTCAAAATAAAAAGTAAAAAGAGATGGGGATGAGGTTCAGAGGTGTACTGTTTATCTAGCATGCACCAGGCTCTAGGTTCAATCAACAGCAAGTCAGTAAGAAAGGGGAGAAGGGGGGAGGGGAGAGAGAGAGAGAGAGAGAGAGAGAGAGAGAGAGAGAGAGAGAGAGAGAGAGAGAGAACCAGGAACCAGGTGGTTAAGGGATGGATGCCCAAGCCAGAGTGTACATACCCTCTCTGTGTAGTCCTGACAGACACTACCAAGCTCCTAGTCCACTGATAACCTGTGTGGAGCCAGGTTGTGGCTCAGGAGAGAAATAGAGGGGCCCTTGCCAACCTTCTAGAAGCAATCAGAACGCAGAGAAAGAGGAGTACTCTCCCAGGAGCAAGCCGACATCCATGGACCAAGAGAGGCACCACTTGGTTCAAACCTCTATCCTATATAATATATAGGATATATATTATGTCCTATGTATAATATAGGATCTATGTAACCTAAATAGTATAGCATATGGGTAGAAAAGTATACAAACAAGAGAGCTTATTAAAGGAGTTATTTGAAACTAACCCCCCCTCACCGTGGATTATATTCAGCTCCACTGTTGAATAGTACACGGCCATCCAAGTGAGACTGAGTCTGTGCAAGCACGGGAAAGCACCCCCAAAGGTGCTGCTTTAGGACTATAGTAAAACACAAAGATAAGCTGATTTTACTGTGTAAGAAGGAAATAAAACACAAAGATAAGCTGATTTTACTATGTAAGAAGGAAATAATCTTACGGACATCCCTAAAGAATGTACACCTAGCTACAGATACGGAGACCTATTTAGGGTTTCCTGGGCTTTGTCCACTCTCAAACAGCCTTGGTGAGCTAGCTTCACAAAGCCTTTCCCAAGGACTGAGTCTTGTTCCTTGTCTGTGTGGGACTCAGCGGTCCCCTACACTGAGGACTTTGAAAGTTTACAATAAAAAGGACCGTGCAGTACTGAGGAGGGCTCTGCAGGGCTCTTCTTTCCCTCCTAAACCCAGTGGTTCTAACAGAAGTGTCCTGCAAACCTGCACACCACTGAGGAGCCAGAACCAGGTGCCTCGGCAGACCCTCCCAGAGCCCCCCACACTGCCAGCTCATTTCTAGTGGAGGGAAGGGTGGGGGACTCGAACAGCATGTCCTGCCAGAGACTGGAGAGGCCTGAGAAACAGCATGAGGAAAGAGAGAAGCTGAGGGTGTAGGATTCCATCCCAGCAACACACACACACACACACACACACACACACACACACACACACACACACTAAATGACAACGCTAGGGACGTTAAACGGGAAGGCTTGTGAAAACAAGGTACGAGATGCACAGTAGACGTGAAGTATTGACATGCTGACTACTGCATCTACGATTCAACAGAACTGCTGTTCATAAGCTCATCATAGACCCCTGGAAACCACAGGGGGAGGGGCTGTGGAGATGACTTCATGATAAAGTGCTGGTTTTGCAAGCAGGAAGACCTGAGTTTGATCCTCAGAAACCACATTTAAAAAAAAAAAAAATCAGAAAGGTGGTACACACTCGTAACCACAAGGTGGTGATAGAAAGATGGGACCCTGGAGCTCCCTGACCAGCTTCAGGTCAGCAAGAGACCCTATCTAAAATAAAAACCACAAAACAAAACAAACAACAACAACAACAACAACAAAAATATGGATGACACCTGAGGAATGATACCCAAGGTTGACCTCTGGCCTCAGTAACACACACACACATTGGGTCTCAGTTCATCACAGTCAGTGGGATCAAGATCTGGGGACCAAGGCGTTGTATGTTTGAAGATGGCTTTGTTCTACTGTAGTGAAGCCCTGTAGACATTTTGGCAGCGATATATCAGCATTAAAGGCTTGTTGGGAAAGTCTCTTGCCTCGGTTGGGGCAGCTCCTATGGACTGCCTGGTCCCCCAGTCCCTTTCACCATCACCGTAATTGTTTCCCTAATGGTTCCTTTGGTGTGGAGCGTACACAGTATATCAGCTCTGAGCCACATATCCTCTGGGTAGCCATCACCTTGCCTCCTGGACTAGG